ATTTGTGATGTCTCTAAGATACAAAGTGAGATCAGATGTAATATGGAGATCAGATAAATTTTGTAGTCATAGTGACTTGAATGTCCACAGGAAATCTCCACTGCTTCTGTTGGCCATATCAAGAACCTCAGGGCAGAAATGCTATTATCAGTGACTGGCTTTTTTTTTTCTCTTGTTCAGTTCAACCTGCTGTTTGGATGGAGCATCTCTGACTACCGGAGTTTCTTCAGCTCCACAGTGACTGTTGTTGGCCTCTTGATGGGAATTTCTAACCACAAAGAGGTAAGACAGACAGATAGGCAGGCAGAGTAGAAGCAACCTAATTTCCTTTCAGATTCATGTTTGGCTAAGCAGCTTTAACTAGTGGGATGGGATGGTTGCTTGTTAAGCAACCTCCCACTGCACAGGCTAAGGTGAGAACCTACATCCTTTGCCTTTGTCTCAAAGTAATGTCTGCATAGAACACCACACTACTCACCAGCTGTCCTCTTCCCCCATTCCCTCATTCTACTGTCAAAGGACACTTGGCCAGAACAGCACAAGCTGTTGATGCTCTCAAAAGTGGAAGCAACCAAAGGTAGTGCCAAAAAGAATACAGTTAACACACATTGTGGAATATTACTTTAAGATGTGTTTACATTTGTTTATGCTGTGAAATATTTAATGGTGCAAAGATGGGTTGCATTCTTTTCTGTTGCATTTAACTTTGCAAATGTTAACAGTAACTGTGTAAAACTGTAATTCTGTAAAAGTAACTGTTACTTTGCCTGTCTAAAACACCTGATTGATCTAATAAAGAGTTGAATGGCTGTTAGGCAGGAGAGGGATACGTGGGGATTCCAGGCAGAGAGAATACAAGGAGAAATCTAGGCTTGAAAAAAAAAGAGAGCCAGGAGTGAGAAAAGGAGGCGAGGACGATGCCAGGGGCCAGCCACTCATGGAGTAAGAAGGAAAAGAAGGATATATAAAGGTAAAAAACCCAGAGGCAAAATGTAGAAGAGAAACAGGATCATTTAAGTTATAAAAGCTGGCTAGAAACAAGCCAAACTAAGGGTGGACATTCATAAGTCTCCGTCAAGCTGGGCATTGGTGGCACACGCCTTTAATCCCAGCACTCCGGAGGCAGAGGCAGGCGGATCTCTGTGAGTTTGAGGACAGCCTGGTCTTCAGAGCTAGTTCCAGGACAGCCTCCAAAACAATACAGAGAAACCCTGTCTCAAAAAAAAAAAAAAAAAAAGAGAATAAGTCTCCATTTACTTATTTGGGAGCTACACACACATCTTGGTGAGTTTACTCCTTCCTCACCCACATAAATTCCTGACTTCTTATATTACATAGATGACAATGTACTTCACAAAAAAAATTACATTTGAGTTAGGTATACTGGTTAGAACATTAAGATAATTATTTAAAAGGCATACAGAAAATAATTTTACAGAAAAATATATGAACAAGGTGAAGGGAAAACTTCAAATAGGCATCTTTGGAGGATATGGGTCCTAACATTGAAGGGCTTATGTGATCAGGAAATTAGTGGAACTAGTAATACTTGTACAATTAATCACTCTGATGACCCTTTGTCTTAGTCAGAATTTCTATTGCTGTAATCAAACACCTTGAACAAAAGCAGTTTAGGAGGAAAGGATTTATTTGGCCTACATACCCTCACAGTCCACTGTGGAGACCAAGACCTGAACTCAAGCCCTGCAGGAACCTGAAGGCAGAGGCAGGAGCTGATGCAGAGCCCAAGCTGTTTACCAGCTTGCTCCTTGTGGCTTTGCTCAGCCTGCTTTCTTATGGAACCCAGCCCAGAGTGGTACTACCCACGATGGGCTGGGCCCTCTCACAGCAACTACTAATTAGGAAAACACCAAGCAGACCAATGACTTTGCAATGAACACTTGCAAGTAAAGCTATATGGAGAAAAGGATATGCTGTGTGACTCACTGTATCACACTACAGCTTCTATGACAAGATTTTCTTGTTTTTTCTCTTAAATTTTATTTTTGGGGGATTGCAAGGGCGAAGGCAGATGAAGGAATAGAGAGATGAGTGGTATGGAGATGCATGATGTGAAAGACAAAGAATAAATAAAAAGTCAAAGGGAAAGAAAGAAAAAGAGAGAAAATGTTCTACAGACTTGCCTACAGCATAATCTTTTTTTTTTTTTTTTTCCGAGACAGATAGGTATCTCTGTATTGTTTTGGAGGCTGTCTTGGAACTCGCTCTGTAGACCAGGCTGGCCTCGAACTCACAGAGATCCGCCTGCCTCTGCCTCCCGAGTGCTGGGATTAAAGGCGTGTGCCACCAACGCTTGGCTCCTACAGCATAATCTTATGGATGCATTTTCTCATTTGATGTTCCCTCCTCTCAGATAGCTACAGTGTGTGTCAAGTTGACATAAAACTAGCCAGCATCCCAAGGATGCAACTGCTATTTACTATAGTGCTGTTATGGCAGTAGCTGCATTCACAAGGGAATGAATCATTGGTTAACAGGCCTTAGTAGCAACAATGAACAGGCTAACACCAAAAAAAAAAAAAAAAAAAAAAAAGAACCATACCTTTAAGTATAGAAACCATCCTAGTAAGGCCTGAATTTACAAAGATCTATGCAGAAAAGCAAAAAAGGATTTAACCACCAGTACTCACACCTTACAAGACTATGGTGGGAGGAAACATAGTAAGTCAGTTTCCCTCTTCTTTCCAAAGCCTTGCAACCAGCCAAAAGCCTGTTTTCCTACTTTTTACTGGGGACTCCCATGTCCAGAGAAGCTTCTCAAATGGTAGACAGATTTTAAGATCCCTTCTGGTATGCACTTATTCTTCCCACATGAATGTTACTCCAAGATTTTGTGTTTATAGACATATTTTTTTCAGAACTGCCGAACACTTAGCTGAGATTTGTTACCTGATTTTTCTTGTAGAAGCTGTGGAATCAAATTTTAATATCCTTACTCATGTTCTATCCACTTAAAAGTATTTTCCTTTCAATCTTCTTTGTTTCTTTCCCAGTTTCATCATATTCAAACATGTGCTTAGAAATAAATCCCAGATGTTAGCACAGGTTGTAAACTCCAAGAGGCCTTATTGTCTTCCCAGGTTATTGCTCTATACCCAATCCTCGGCTCCATTCTGGTCCTCACTAGCATCATCCTGATGGGACTTGTGATCATTAATCTTTTTGTTTCTGCCATTCTCATTGTCTTTGGAAAGGAGAGGAAGGCCCTTAAGGTGAGTAACTGGCCCAGCAACTGAACAATTACCTGTCATGATTTCCTGTAACTGGAGAGATTAATGATGCTTTAAGACACTGGTGCTCAGGCCGGCGTTGGTGGTACACGCCTTTAATCCCAGCACTCGGGAGGCAGAGGCAGGCGGATCTCTGTGAGTTCCAGGCCAGGCTGGACCGACAGCCTCCAAAACGATACAGAGAAACCCTGTCTGGTAAAACTCGTAAAAGCAAAAAAAAAAAAAAAAAAAAAAAAAAAAAAGACACTGGTGCTCAACCTTTCATGTTGTGACCACTCCCATCATAAAAATTACTTCACTACTACGTCATAACTATAGTTTTGTTAATTGGTGTGAGTCATAATGTAAATATCTGTGTTTTCCAATGGTCTCAGGCAATCTGTGAAATCATCTGACCCTATGGGGTCTTGACCCACAGGTTGAGAACCACTGATTTTAAGACTACATCTGTAATCCCAACATTTGGAAGTGGCGCTAGGACTCAGAGTTTAAGGCCAATCTGGCTTTTGCAGTTAAGAGTCCATGACATTACTAAGTGACCTGATGCAGAGGGTCAGCACACTCTCTTTAGAGGTCTCAGTCCCTTTCCTAGGAACACAGACAGCCAAGACATAACCAGCTGTCTTCCACCATTCGGTAGACATTCCCAACATCTGACAGTAAACCATTATTAGTGTCTTTACTGTTTACTACACATTTATAGGGTAGTTTGGAGCGTATCTTTGGTACTTTCAGCCACTCTCAGGTCACTTACTTTTCTTTTTGTCTCCAAATACTCAGAAAGAAGCTACACTGACAGATGTATTACTACAAAAGCTCTCAAATTTGTTGGGAATTCGCCAGTACCAGAATCCTTCATCTGAGAAGCAGGCTGACAGCACTGGGTATTGACCTCTGAGTCTTAAAATGAACTATTTTAAATCTCATTATCGCCTAGCATAGCTTATGTTTTACTGTATTATTGACAATACTTTACATTTCATGACAGAAGTATCATACTTAGTGCTAGTGAAGATTCTAAATCTCACTGTCCCCATAATCTTGCTGATGGACTTCAGCAGTGTAATAAGGAGAATCATACCTTCAGTACATAGCACAAACCAGCTACACTGCCAACCAGCAGGTAACAGAATGCTCATCACTCATGCCAAGAGCAAGCTCAACTGCAGCTTACTAAAAATAGAGTAAAGCCAGGCATTGGTTGCACACGCCTTTAATCCTAGCACCAGGGAGACAGATGCAGGCAGATCTCTGTGAGTTTGAGGCCAGCGTAGTCTATAGATTGAGTGCCAAGACAGGCTCCAAAGCAATACAGAGAAACCCTGTCTTGAAAAAAAAAAAAGAAAGAAAGAAAAAAAAAAAAAAAAACCAGAGGAGTATCAGGCAAGCAAATTCATAGATGCTACCTGAACTCAAGTCCAGGGATAAAAATGAGCCCCATCAGCTCCTGATGCCTGCAGTCCTAAGGGAGAGAAAAGTGAAGGCTGGATCTGGCTTGTACACTAATATGGGTCACCTGGGTAAAATATTCTCCATTAAAATCCATTCATTTGAGCCGGGCGTTGGTGGCGCACGCCTTTAATCCCAGCACTCGGGAGGCAGAGACAGGCAGATCACTGTGAGTTCGAGACCAGCCTGGTTTACCGAGTGAGTTCCAGGACAGGCTCCAAAACAATACAGAGAAACCCTGTCTCGAAAAACCAAAAAAAAAAAAAAAAAAAAAAAAAAATCCATTCATTTGACCAATACTAGAGAAAGCAGGACATGAGATCTTTATTAGCAGCTACTGAGCTATGAGAGACAAATCAATCAAAAACAATGAAGTTGCTTGAAACAGGTATATACAGAAATATACATAAGCAAAAATCTCATCTTCCAGTCCCAAAGCTAACCTCTTGTGGAAGGGTGGTCTTGGCTAGGGGCAAAGAAGCACATAAGTTACCGTAATGAATCACATCCACCCAGGAAAGCAGTGAGCTACAGCACATGGCACTAAAATTTAAGGTATCAGTTTGTAAAGATTCCCTTAATCATAAAAGTTTTCAAATGAAGACATGTACCCCTCCTTTCCTGTAGGCTTCCAGATCTCTACCCAAGAGACTTGAGTACTTCTATTAAGGCAACTGGAAGCCCACCCTAGGCTTGGATAGAGACCTATGCTTCTCTCCTAACATGCTATGGGAAAACACAAGTTTCTATAGTGCTGCTCTTTCCTAAAAGAGAAACACAGCACTCAAAATAAAGCAAAAGGCCACAGAGGGCTCCCTGAGAATCCAGTGGAACTAAGAGAGAACTTTTCCAAACAAACTTTGCAACTGGATCCAGGTGGAACAGTGCCCTGCAGCAAGGAGTAGTGTGTATGTCAATGAGAGGGTCCTGCCTCCAGGAACCGTGTCAGTGGCTTCCTGAGCCATCTAACTCATTTGAGAAAACACATGGCGGCCTTGAGTCTCTCTACAATCACCCCCATGCAAAAGGGTGCATTTACAAGTCAAGGTTGAGACATATCATAAGGTAGTCTCTTCCATGGTCCAGCCATCTTTGGCAACTCTACCCACAATACTTCTCTTCTCACTCCTTGGGGAATGGAATGGCCAGGAGAGAACCTAGGATCCATGTGACAGAAAGACAGGCAAACACAGCCACCAGAAGCCAGCTAGAGTCCCCAGCTGTTAGTCTCTCAGTATCACTAGAGAACTGGAAAGCAACACAATCGGTAGAGCAGCAAGAGCCCCAAGGAAGAGTGCTCAGTGATGTTAACAGATGAAACGGAATTTCATGGAGATTCACTGTTACAAGGAAGAACCGCACAGTCTCAACTTCCAGAATGTGGATGTTGCCTGCTTTTAAGAGACCTATGTTTTCTTTTTCAGTTCCTCAAATCTCCGGGAAAGATCATCAAAGTCTATGTCCTCTGATGCAGAGGTACTGGCTCCAGCAGATGCCGTTGGGAGTGTGTCTGGCACAGACGGCAACTCTGGCAGTACAAAGTTGTTGTAATTATCCATCGGTCTGGAAGGGGGCTTTGCAGGAGCTTCTGGCTTGGGTCCTAATTAAACCAGGGCAAAGAGTACAATGTTACAAATAGCAAAGAAACGACTCAATCATCCTTTGACAAAACCACCACCCAAAAACCCCACAATCCCTTTTGGCAGAGGACAAAAAAAAAAAAAAAAAAAAAAAAAAAAAAGATCAAACTGCAAGAGAGGCTGGAGATGTAACTCAGTTGGCAGAGTATTTGCCTAACATACACAAAGCTCTTGGCTTTACCCCCGAACTGCATACAACCAGAAATGGTGGTTTACACCTATCATGACTAGCACTAGGAAGGTTGAGGCAAGAGGATAAGGAAGTCCAAAGTCATTAATACTGAGTCTATTTGATGTACTAGTCTATTCTGTATAAAGCCTTCCAGTTTGCTTTTCCCCCTTTTCTTTCGATGCGGAAGATCAAATCCAGGAACTCGCACATGCTAGGCCAACAACCCACCACTGAGCCTATGCCCCAGCTTCCCAATGCTGGTATCAGAGGTGCCCCACCGTTTCCAACTTCTCTAGTAGCCCTTCATTTTTTAACTTACTCAACAACTACATAAACATGCTTACTTTATGAAAATTCACTCTTACTGTTTGTGCCTATTCTGCCCTCTCTGCTGGCTAGTTTTATATCAGTTGAACACAAGCTAAAATCATTTGGGAAGAGGGGAATCTCAACTGAGAAAATGTCCCCAGCAGATCACCAGATTAATGAGAGAGGCCCAGCTCAGTGGGGGACAATGCCTCCCCTAGGTAGGTGGTCCTGAGTGGTATAAGAAAGCAGGCTAAGCAAGCCATGAGCAGGTAAAGAGCATTCCTCTATGGCTTCCACTTCAGTTCCTGCCTCCAGACTCCTGCCCTGACTTTGACAATTATTCTGTGATGTGGAAATGTAAGCAAAATAAACCCTTCCTCCAAGTGCCTTTTTTTTTTTCTGGTTTTTTAAGACAGGGTTTCTCTGTGGCTTTGGAGCCTGTCCTGGAACTCGCTCTGTAGACCAGGTTGGCCTCAAACTCAGAGATCTGCCTGCCTCCGCCTCTGAATGCGCCACCACCTCCCCAGCTCAAGTTGCTTTTGATCAGGGTGTTTTATCACAGCAATAGAAACCTAACCAACACGCCAATAGTCACTTCTAAAAACAGCTGGGGTTGGGGACTGGAGTGATGGCTCAGTGGTTAAAAGCTCTTCCAGAGGACCAAGCACCCACACGGTCACTCACAACAGTCTTAACTCCAGTTTCAGAGGGTCCAGTACTCTCTCTCTTTTGGTCTCCAGGGGCAGAGCATGCACATGGTGCATAGACATAATACAACCATAAACACAAAATAATTATTTTTTTTAAAAAATGAGGGAGGGCTGGAGAGATGGATCATACATTAAGAGCACATGCTACTCTTCCAGAAGACTCAAGTTCGGCTCCTACCACCCAAGTCAAAACCACCTGTCAAGTCAGGCTGGGGAGCGAATGCCTTTAATCCCAGCACTTGAGAGGCAGAAGCAGGGAAATCTCTGAGTTTGAGGCCAGCACTGTGGTCTACAAAGTGACTTCCAGGACAGCCAGGGTTTCACAGAGAAACTCTGTCTTGAAAAAACAAAAAAAGAAAGGAAAGAGAGCAAGTGAGCGAGTAAGAGAGAGAGACAAGGAGAGAGAAGACGAGAAAAACAAAAAAAACCACTCACACTGCAGCCCCAGGAGGGTCCCCTAGCCTCCACAGGGACCTGTACTCACATGTATAAACCGACATACATGTACATATTGGAAAATAATAAAAATGTACCTTAAAAAACTTAGGTGACTAAAAATAAAACACAGAACTTGGAAGATGGGGATAGGGAAAATACTTTGTTTCAAAGCAAGAGGTTCTGAGTTCTGTGTTAGACACATTACATTGAAAAGAGGACATGGATCATGGATGGAATGCCATGACCATGGAGAGAAGAACAGGAAGAGAAGAAGGGTCAGCAGCCGTGAAGCTTTCTGAAACACTTACCAACAATCTGTGCAGAAGAAATATTTTTATCACCATTAATGTCATCAACCTGCAAAACATAGATTGTTACCAAAAGAAAAGACAGTGAATGACATCTCTAGACAAAGTACTAATACTGGTACCAGCTCCTGTGTTTTCCAAAAGCTAAGCTGTTCACCAAAAGCAACAAAATTTGCTCCTAAGAAAATGTCTCCTAGTCTCTCCATGTTTCTCTGAACACATAAACAACATGCCAACCTCTGAACTGCTAAGCATAGAAAGAAAAGTCTTACCACACTGTGACACTTTTCAGCTTCCAGGCAAAGCAAACTAGTAAATCTATCTATAAGAACCAAGGCCCTTGATGAAGATCCACCTCATTCCATAAAGAGTTGGCCATGTTTTGATACATGGAATACTAAAGCATGAGAAAGACTCAGTTCCAGGAGAAAACACATCAGCTACAGATGAGAACCACTGGGAAGAATAATTCGCAAACTAAGGATCAGAGAGAGCTTCCTAGGTGAGCAATTTCCATACCAACTTGTTTTCTAAGTAAACCTAAGCTGGAAACAGCTCTCAAAGGGTTGCTATGCATATGTAAGACTGGCAGAAGACAAGTAATTGTGAAGCAGAGCTGCTGTTACAAAGAGCTCAAGGCATCTTTACTACATGAGCCATTTACACAAGTTACCCCAAACCCCCAAGCACTAGGGACTGCACCTAGGGCCTCCTACATGACAGACATACACCTTACAACTGAACTACTTCCCAACGTTTTTTTTTTACCTTTCATTTTGAAACAAGGTCTTATATTTATTTTTTATTTTTATTTATTTATTTTGGGGGGGGTTTGAGACAGGGTTTCTCTGTATTGTTTTGGAGGCTCTCCTGGAACTTGCTTTGTAGACCAGGATGGCCTCGAACTCACAGAGATCTGCCCGCCTCTGCCTCCCGAGTGCTGGGATTAAAGGCATGCGCCACCAACGCCCGGCACAGGTCTTATATTTATGATCTATCTGATTCAGCGTCCAAGTTGCTAAGATTACTGACTTGTGCCACAGGTTTTCTCTCCATAAGTTTTAACTATAAGAAAATGTGAAACCAATGCTACATTCCCCAAAAAACTGACACCTTTGGTTAAGTCAAATACCATTACTATTCTTCCCCATGAATGTTAAAAACTTAAAAACTGATGTTTTAACAAATATATTCTAATATCAAATTACAGTGGCCCAATATGATTCTCAGACTAGTTGGTAAAACAAATAATCTATATTAAATGTTCTAGTGGGACACTACAACTTTTTTACTTTTTTTTTAAGGTGGGCTCATGTAGTCCAGGCTAACCTTGAACTCCTGATCCTCCAAAGTGCTGAGACTACAGGCAATTGCCACCATGCCCATGAGTACTGTAACTTCCTAGGAGCAGCTACTTCCTGATTCCTGGCTTCAGTGCTGACATAGCATGCCCACCACAAATGCCACCAACAGCACTCCCCATCTCCAGGGCAGTATGAAAGCAACAAAGAATCCCGAAGCAAGAGCAATACCCATACTAAGTTGATCAAAAGTTTGCCTTCCCTGTTGTTATTATTTTGCTCTCTTCATGGGATTCACTCTCCTGCCGTTTATCAAAGAGGCTCAGGCACTTACAGATTCATACGATGGGGGAGTTGCTGGTATCTGAGGTGGGTGAATGTTAGGGAAGGCCTGGTAAGTCCCCACTGGCAATCCACTGAAATCCGACTGCAAGAGAAAAGCAGTATCAGAACACTGCTCCCGATTTGTAACTTCTGTACGGGATGGGAAGAAATATGTGTGAATACACACATTGTATGTATGTATGTATATACGTACGTATGTATGTATGTAAAGATCCTCAAAGGAAAGAAAGGCTTAAAAGGATCACATGTAGTCAGAAAGACTACAAGCTTAAAGATCTACAAGGGCTATTTCTCAAATTACCACATCAAGTGCTTCTTCTATGTCTGTCTCCAAGGAAAAAAATTCAGTTTCTTGCTTCTTAGAAATAACCTACTGTAAAACCTGTCAACAAAGGTTTTCAGCCTGATAACAAAAGGAAGTTCTTCATTTTCAGAACCAAAACAAACAAACAAAATTACTGGCATTACTGCAATAGGTACCCATGTGTTCAGTAACCCTTTCATACCACTATCTTTATATTTTTCTCATTTACTCAGCTAATAGAAATATTCTTATTGTTCTGTATTCCTGGCAGCCTACAATTCCTCAGTGTGTTTATAGAGCACATATGTTCTCTTCTGCAACATTTTCTAACGCTCACATTCACATCTCTTTACACATACTTACTGGTCCCTTTGGCAGTGGATATGAGAAGGGAGCATTTGGAGATGGCATAGGCATAGGCATAGGCATGGGCATGGGCATTGGCACTGTTCCATCAGGTCCACCAACAGGGGCTGTGAACCCGCCCCCTCCTCCTCTTCCAGGACCACCTTTCTTCACATCATCTGTAAATCCAACATCAATAAGGTCTGTCTCCACCCCAGTAGGAGCTTCTGCCTAAGAAAAAGAGAGAAGCACATAATCCATGTCCACTAGCACGTTCCCTAGGAAAGTCTAGGGACACACATATAAGCATAAAAGCTGTATACTCTGGAGTGCTCACAACACTAGCACCTGCAGGAAGGGTGAAGGAGGTGGGAGAACACTACTCTGAATGCTCCACCACAGCCTCAGACAACCCCCAGGGATCCAGGGACTCTACAAAGGTCTCCAAGAGAAGGAAGAGGGCAGAGTGTAGAGAGTTTAAAACTCCCTGTCCTGGCCAGATTCAGAAAGAAAAGGCCCCAAGAAAGAACATTTTCTTCTACAGAGGGCCAGCTCTGAAGGAACACTCAGGTATGTGAGCTTCCACACACTAACTCCTAAGAGTGAGGGAAAGTGTTGCTGTCTGTCCTGGGGGTGTTTGTGTGCTTCTACCACACCTCACTAATTTGACTGCTGAATCATATTATGTTCAGGACAGAGAATTTGTTTCACATGTATCTCCACACTCAGCTTTTTGACCACTACCTGCACATACCACAATAAATAAACTATGTAGTGTATTTGGTATTTTCTCAATGTTTGCTCTTTGGGGGTCCACCACCCAGCTCTTACATAAACACTCAGAGACTTATTCTTACTTATAAATGCTCAGCCTTATCTTGACTTGTTTCTATCCAGCTTTTCTTAAATTATCCCGTCTACCTTTGACTCTGGGCTTTTATCTTTCTCTATTCTATATGCCCTTCTTTACTTCTTACTCTGTTGCTTGCTGGGTGGCTGGCTCTCCCCTCCTTCTTTTTCTCCCTTTCTCTCTCCTTCCTCTCATCTCGTTCTCAATATTCTCTCTGCCTGACAGCCCTACCTAACCCTCATCCTGCTTAGCTAATGGCTGTTTAGCCCTTTATCAAACCAATCAGGTGTTTTAGACAGGCAAAGTTTAACTCACAGAGTTAAACAAACTCAATATAAAAGAAAGCAACACATCTTTGCATCATTAAACAAATATTCCGCAGCATAAATGAACATTTAAAATAATATTCCACAGCAATGTAGGTCTTGGGGTATTGCTATGTTCAAGGGGATTATCGAGGTCTTCAAGCTCACTGAAAGGCAAAATTAGCATGCCTTTATGTTTCTGTCAAGGTTGTGCATTCTCAATCTCATTCATTAAGTGCCCTGTGAGATTTGCAGGTATATTTATTAAGAAGGTACAAGCTGAACAAAGGCTTACACATTCCAACTCAACTAGTATAAATAATCCCCCGCCTCCACCAGAAATCCTACATACACTCATTTTCCTTTGTGCTCTGTATAAACTTACCATGACCACAGAGTCAGGTTCATAGGGTACATTGTAATTCTTGGCAATTTCAATCAGGTATCTCTCCACTAGGATTTTGGGTGGAGCTTCAACACTCAGTTTGTGCATTAGCTGTAATAAAAGATCAATGTTATAAAGCATCTGTACAGCCGGGCAGTGGTGGTGCATGCCTTTAATCCCAGCACTCAGGAGGCAGAGACAGGTGGATCTCTGTGAGTTTGAGACCAGCCTGGTCTACCGAGCAAGTTCCAGGACATGGTCCAAAAAACAATACAGAGAAACCCTGTCTCGGAAAAAAAAAAAAAAGCATCTGTACAACCAACCTAATCCTAACCTGCTTCTTAAAAACAAAACAAAACAAAAAAAATTAGTTCTTCTCGTTTTACAGGTAAAATTGAATATCAGAATAAAGATGAGTTGTTTTTTTTTTTTTCAGTCAGAAGGCACATTACAGGACACATGCTTTCCTCACACTCTCTAGCTATATATGAGACAGGTACCAAGAAAAGACTCAACATTAAGCCTTCCCCATGTGGCTCATTGAATCCTCCTTTCCACTCCCCTTCCTGCCTTCCTAACTCACAGAAGATGGAAAAGCAAGCACCACGACCAGGTGTTGGGCAGTGGAAGATCCAGACTGCACGGCCGGCCACACAGTCATCCTCTGGCCTTCACTATGCTATGAGATACATCCCTCAACTAACTCAGCCATACACCTACCCAACTCAAGGCCCTGCTGGTAATAAAACTACCTCTCCCACTAGGTCCTATTTACCAAGTGTGTTCATTACCCTATCATTCACAGTCCCAATCTGGTTGGTCCTGCACAACTTGCCATATTCCTTGCTGTATTTAGCACAGAGCTGATCAGCAACCTACAAAAAAGAAAAAGAAAAATTACAACAGAAACCATTCCCAGGAATAGCTTCACACTTCTTCCTATCAACATTAAACATATCACTATGACTAGGTTTAAAAAACAATGCCTATAAAACCTTGGTAAGTATACATTATTTACTCATCTATCCAGAAAGCAACAACCTAACTCCAAACACTATCATTAAGCATAATAAATACTATAAATACAACAATGATCTGAGCAAGGTGGCATACACCTATAATCCCATTAACTAGGGAGGCAGAAGCAAGAGGATCAGTTCAAGGCTAGCCTGGACTACATGACACCTTTTCTCAAAATTCCTCTCCCGTCCTCAAAAAATAGTAATGATGAGGAACAAAAATAGACACTATTCCTACTTTTAGGCAGCCTTATAATCTCTGTGCAAAATAATAATATTATTAATAAAAATAACCCAATAAAGATCTACCTGCAGTTAGGATAAATGTTACTAAGTAAAGGTACACATGCAAACCCGACCTGAGCAGAAAAGTGAGATGAGGCAGCCTCTGAAAAAAATAATGTTTTGTCAATATCTGGACGATTATTAGAAGTTAACTAAGCAAAGAGCTGAGTACAGTATCATGTCTCTGTAACCCCTACTAGGAGGCAGAAGTAGGAGGAGCCCCACAAGTTTGAGACCGGCCAGTGCTATATAGTAAGAAATGAACAAGTTAACTCAACAAGACTAGAAAGAAAATTGTTCTAGGAAAATGTGTAAAGGTCTCCTGGGAATAAACATGGTCAATACAGCCGGGTGTTGGTGGCGCACGCCTTTAATCCCAGCACTTGGGAGGCAGAGGCAGGTGGATCTCTGTGAGTTCGAGGCCAGCCTGGTCTACAAGAGCTAGTTCCAGGACAGCCTCCAAAGCCACAGAGAAACCCTGTCTCGAAAAACCAAAAAAAAAAAAAAAAAAAAAAAAAAAAGGTCAATACATACATGTGAAAACAAAGTCAGCAATCCTAGAGTGTAGAACCTACGAGTACAGTGTCAACTGAAGACAGGCACGTGGGAGTCACACAGTACAAATCATGGAGTTGTGTTTCTATCATAACAATACAAAGCTACTACAGTGGTTTAAAGCAAGGAGTTGCCTTAACACAGGATTTGCTGCCTTAAAATGTTTTAATTATGTGGTTTACAGTTGTGTAAGAACTGTTCTGAGTTAGGTGATAGTGAGACACAGCTTTAATCCCAGCACTTGGGAGGCAGAGGCAGGTGGATCTCTGTGATTTCAAGACCAGTCTGGTCTACAGAGTGAGTTCCAGGACAGCCAGGGCTACACAAAGAAAATCACCACAGGCCTACCATCCCAGCACTTGGGAGATAAAGGCAGAAAGATCTTTCAATATAAAACAAATTCAAAACCACCCTGGATTACATGAGACCCTGTCTCAAAAAAATGAAAACTGGGGGAGATGGCTCAGCAATACATAACATTTTCTGTAGCAGCTCACAACTGCCTATATCTTGAGTTCTAGAGAACCTGATATCCTTTTCCGTCCTCTGCAGGCACCAGCATGGACATGACACACATACATACATGCAGGCGGGAAAACACACATGCACATAAAATCAAAATCTAAAAAACAAAACAAAAAAAATGTTCTGGAGATGAAGATAGCTCAGTGATAGAGTAGCTGCTAGTGTATGTGAGGCCCTGGATTTGACTCCCAGTACAACAAAAACAAAATGCTGGATAGCAAAATGCTTGTTCATATACACAAATAAGGTTAAGCAATAGAATAAGCAAACATGAGTACATATAATACATAGAGGTTTTCTCCCCTCTTTTTGAGACAGGGTCATGCAATGTAGTCCAGGCCGGCCTTTACTCAAGCCCTCTTGCCTCAGCCTCCAAAGTACTATGATTATATGCACAGACCACCACACCCAACTAAAAAATAATTTGAGAGAAGCCTGTTGGTGGTGGCATATGCCTTAGTCCCAGCATTAGGGAGGCAGAGGCAAGCAGATCTCTGAGTTTGAGACAGAGTGAGTTCCAGGAAAGTCAGAGGTATACAGAGAAACCCTGTCTTGAAAAATAAAAATAAAATAAAAAAACAATGTTCTATGCCATAAAGGTCTGAAAAGGACTAACTACTTAATAAAGCCTATTTCAAAACCAGAAGGTACAAGATACCCAGTCAAATAATCAGACTTTTCTAATAATATCAAAAACTACAGAGGCCAGCCATTGTGGCACATACCTTTAATCCTAGCACTCAGAGGCAGAAGCAGAGAAGGGTAGATTTCGGTAAGTTCCAGGCCAACTAGAGTAACACAGTGAGACCTTGTATAAAACAAAACAAAAGCCTACAGACATTACAGAAACTGCTTGTACTCACTATTTTCAACTCAGCCACTTCTGACTGAAGCCGAGGAGCAGCCCAGATCAGTGTAGACACAGATTCAGCCAGACCGGAATCTAGCTCCCTAATGAAGAAAAAATATAATTTAACATCCTTTAAAATAAACAAAATCATAGTTTTTATATCATATACCACATGGCCTCAAAGTTATTTCACAAATTATACTGGCTTCTGGTAAATGGCATTCAGCCTTTTCATTTCCCTATTTTGCTTCTGGAAAAACAAAAACTAAAGTGATATGCTCAAGTCCACAAAACCTCACACAAGCTGAACCAAGACTCAAACCTGGAACATTGGACTTCAGACTCTGTTTTCTTTTCACTAATAGGCAAAAAGACCCTTGGAAATGTGAAAAAACCTCTTAGTGTTAGCCCACTGCAGATACATGTAGACTGAGGTAGTATTACTCCATTCTCAAATTCCAGATTTGTTTAGCCTCTGAGGCGAGATATCTTACTTCATAGACTGGATAAGGCCAAACCGAGCCAGCAGCAGGTCACAGTACAGCTCCAGGATCTCCATGGCCTCCACAAGGTAGTCCTCCCGGATAATGTGCTCCACACGGATTCGTGCTCGCTCATCCTTTCCAGCAGCCAGATAGTCAGCAATCTCCTTCCTTGCTTTCTGAGCCAGTTCCGCTGGGATACAAACCCCATTCCAGTCACACAGCAGTAATGTAATGGAACCTGGCCAGTAGGCAGACCTCCACCCACAAAGAAGACTGAGAAGATTCCTGATGTATGAAACCTACAATATCCTAGAGCTCATACTCCTTACATATATACTCTCATCATAACTGCGCTAGAATTCACCCTACATAGATGACACTTCCAATTCAGAAGCCATAGTTAAGAATACTTAACTATCCCACAATAATTAATAGGTATCCAAGAAGGCTCAAGTGTCCGGACATATAAAATGGTACAGAAAAGACAGATCATTTATGCTTAGTCTCCTGTATACTTTAAACTATACATAGATTACTTATACTGTCTAATATAAATGCTATGTAAATGGCTGCTACAATGGCTTATTTTGGAATAACAAGAAGTCTGTACATACTCAATACATAGGCATTTTTTCCACTGAGTATTTCTGATCAGCATTTGTCTGAATACACACATATGGAACCCATAGATACAGAGATTACAAATACAGAGGGGTCAACATTACATCATTTTCTGTGGTGGTTTGAAAGAAAATGGCCCCCAAAGGGAGTGGCACTATTAGGAGGTGTGGCTGTGTTGGAGTAGGTGTGGCCTTATTGAAGGAAGTGTGTGACAGTGGAGGCAGGCTTTGAGATCTCATACATGCTCAAGTCATGTCTAGTGAGACAGACCACTTCCTGCTGCCTACTCAAGATGTAGGACTCTCAGCTACCTCTCCAGCACCATGTCTGCCTGCACATTGCCATGTCCCACCATGATGATAGTGGACTGAGCCTCTGAACTGTAAGCCACTCAAATGTTTTCTTTATAAGAGTTTCAATGGTCATGGTGTATCTTCACAGCAATAGAAACCTAACTAAGATACCGTGTCTGCAACAAAGTGCTTCAATTTAGCTATATACAAGAGGCAGATACTTATCCTAACTGCCAAGCTATGAGAAAGACTCCACAGTGCTAGCCTGAAAGATCCAGCTTGTGATGCTAGTAGCTGGTTTAAAAAGGGGGGATGGGACACAATACTCACTTTTTTTTTTCTCCAACAGTTTAAGACGATTTATGACTAATCTCAAATTGACTCGTAAGCGCTCAGCTTTGAAGCCGGAGCCCAACATGCTGTCCTGCTCCTCCTGGAAAAAGTAGCAAGCAGCACAATGAAGAGTACAGACCAGTTCAGGAACTAGAAATACTTCCTGGCAGACTAATAATATAAACCAGACTGATTTCTTTCCTTTTTTCTTTTTAGTGGTGGGAATTGAACCCAGGGCCATGCACATACTAAGCACATCTCTACCACTGAGTTATCCCACTCACCCCCTAGGCATTTTCTGATAAATGACATGGTCTAAACATCTTGTTTACATACTATTTTACTATTGCTCAAAGAACTGACTGAATAGGAATAAGTGAATATAAAATCTGAAAAAAAATCTAGTGATAGGTAAAATTAGTATGTAGGTATTGGCCACAGGAATAAGGAGATTAAAAAGACAAGGAGGCCAGGCATGGTGACACACACCTTTAGTCCCAACACTCAGGAAGCTGAGGCTAGCACTATTTACCAAGAATTGCACCGACAGCCATAACAGTCACCATAACCACCACAGGATGTCAGGACACACAACTGTGCACTGACCACTGTATATTCTATTTCAAGACAGGACAATTTCTATTTCTCAATTTTATGTCTGGACTCAAAACTTTAAAGCAATGTACTATCCAAGTATAAGTTAGATCTGACAAAGTAACTAAGATAAAATGTACAAACACTAGGGCTAATATTTATCTGTGTAAAAAGCACTCTCAGAAGATAACAAGATATACTTCCTTTTGTGAAATTGTCTCATACTATATTGAATAACTTGTATGTCACAAAATAACTTTCATCCATTATGCTAAATTATGTTCAATCTGTTCAACAAGCATTTATTGATTATGTGTCACACTGGCTAGATGCTGGAAAATATAGAGTTTAAGTAGAGTCTCTGCTTCTCACAAGAAAATTATATTCTATTGAATAAAAAAAAGTTAAAAATCTAGCAAGCTATAATAGTGTTTGAAGCTGAGCGGTGATGATCCACGCCTTTAATCCCAGTACTCAGGAGGCAGAGGCAGGCAGATCTCTGTGAGTTTGAGACAGCCTGGTCTATAAGAGCTAGTTCCAGGACAGCCTCCAAAGCCACAGAGAAACCTGTCTCAAACCCCCCCACAAAAAAAAAGTGTTTGAAAAGGACTATAATTCTAGAGTCTCTCAATTGGGAGTGACCGGAGACATCTTGCACTGTCATAAGAGGGTAAGCTATTGCCAACTAGTGGGTAGAGGCCTAGGATGCCACTAAACATGTAAGAATGAACAAGACAATGTCCTTATAACATCTGCCCAAAACCTCACCAGTACTAAGACTGAGAAACCTATTGTAAATAAATGACCCAAATTCTTAGGACAATCATAATGAAAGGTTCTCCAGACAGCAAAGCCTAAGCTGTGTCCTAAAGAACAAACCAGATACTTATAAAGTGTAAGCCTGATGAGTGGTATAAGTTGACACGTCAAGACCAAAAACTTGCCAAGCACAAGGAGTTATATATGTAAAATCCCAGGTTCCAGAGAACAGGAAGGTTTCTGAGAGTTAGACTCCCAATACCCCAGCAGAATATGTGTTGACAAATCCAAACAGCATCCATATCATATTCTCAGGAAGAAAGAAAAAAAAGCATTAACAACTACCATCATTTACTTTCTAGTCACCTGCATCAAATCAGCCAACAACTATGAGTAGAACTAAGAATAAAACTAAACACAAACCAGGAATGGCATCTGTAGCCCTAAAATCTGAAGCAAGTTCCAGGATAGGCAGAACTGTTACACAGAGAAACCCTGTATCAAAAAAAAAAAAAAAAAAAAAGACCCTGTCTCAAAAAAACAAGGTTGACAGTTCCTGAGGCACAACACTGGAGGTTCACCTCTGGGCGCTACATGCCCAAACACCCTCTATAACAAGTAGGCACAGAATGGTTTCCATACTACGAAAAGTCCAAGAGATGCACGAGTTAGAAAGAACGGGCTGGAGACACAGCTCAGTGGTTAAGAGCACTTCTTGCAGGAGAGCTGTATTCAATTGCCAGCACCAACATGATGGCTCACAACCATCTATCTGTAAGTCCAGTTTCAGATCCAATGCCTTCCTCTGGCCTACCTGGGTACCAGGCATGCACATGGTACACAGACATACATTTGATCAAAACACTCATACACACAAATAAATATAGAAAAAAATAGTTACTGCCTTATGGAAATCTATAACTCAGAGAAATGTATCATACCACTAATAAAATAACTGTCATCGACGACTCAAAGAAATTAATGGTGTTATAGCTTTTATTACAGGGGTATGGCCTGGTCAGCCGCCTGTTTGGAAACTGGTACAAAAGCTAAAGATAACAAAATTGGCAAATAATGCAGAGTTGTACGTTGGGGGTGGAGGGAATGTCAAGATTTCTGTTGTTTTGGAGTAGTTTTGGATTTAATTCTTAGCACCAATATAGTGTTTACAACTGTCTCATAACTCGAGTTCCAGGAAATATGGTTCCCTTTTCTGACACCCAGCCATAGATAAGTTTTTTTAAAAACTGAATGAAACCAGACAAAAGCAATATATTACCTATTATCTATAGTGTATCAAAGACTGTGGTGTGAACCCCAGCAACTTAGGATGAGAAGGGAGGATCCCCTGAGGCCAGCGCTGCAACACAGCCAAGATCCCAAAAATCAGAAAGGAGGAGACAGGCTATAAATTTCACCTAAGATCATGGAAACCAAAAGAAGAGAAAGTCCTTTTCAAAATACTGAAAAAAATGAACCATCAAGCCAGAAATTTTACATCCAGCAAAATATCCCTCAGAATTAAAGGTGAAACAAAACATGACCACATGAAAGAAAATGAAAAAGAAATTTTGTTCTCAGCTGTGGTGATATATTATGATCTAATAAAGCTTGCCTAAGATCAGAATGCAAAGCTAGTCATAGTCACAGAGGCCAGGCAGTGGTGGTACAAACCTCTAATCCCAGCAGCCATACTAGTCAACCATAGAAGCCAGGGGGTGGTGATGCACACCTTTAATCCCTGCACTAGAGAGGTATATAAAACAGGAGCAGGGTCTCAGAGTGAGCAATTAGTCTCCAGCCAGATTGAGGACAGGACTGCCTCAGCCTTGGTAGAAGTAAGAACTCTCTGGTAGCTGGCTGCTTTGCTTTTCTGGTCTTCAGCTTGAGCCCCAATATCTGTCTCTGGGTTTTCACTGTTTGTACAACACTCAGCAGAACTGCTCTAAAAGAACTGCCAAAGAAAGGGCCAATGACAGCTCAGTGTGAAAGTGCTTGCTGGCAAGCCTAGTGATCTGGGTTCAAGTCCCAGAACCCAAAAAAGATGGGAGAGGAAAATCAACTCCACAAAATTATCCTCTGACCTGAACACACAGAGCATCACACATGTCAACCCCTCCACACATGTAAAGATACAGAAATGACAAATATGTATGAATAAAATTAATAGATTGGTTTTCTCAACTCTGTTAAACTTGACAGTTTAGGACAAAACCAGTATTTTTATGGTATTTTCAATATACATAAATGTAATACTTAAGAAAACCATTACTTAAGGGGAGGAAGGTGAAACAACCTATATAATGGTAAGATTTCTACATTCTACCTAAGTGGAAAAAACACTGATTCTAAAAACTTAGCCACATCTGTCATCTCTACAGCAGTCGTGTGCATTGAGCACACATGTGCACATGCATGCCCTCACATACATACACACACTTTAAAATAAAGACTTTTATTTTAACTCAGTGGTGTTGATGCACACCTTTAATCCCAGCACTTGGGAGGCAGAGGCAGGTGGATCTCTGTGAATTCAAGGCCAGCCTGGTATACAAAGTAAGTTCCAGGACACCCAGGACTGTTTTACAGAGAAACCCTGTCTCGAAAACAAAGATTTTTTATTTTTATTCATGTGTCTGCATGTGTCTATGTATGTTGTGTATCTCACATGTGGGTGGGTGTCCTCAGAGGTCAGATGGCTCATCGGTTAACAGCATTCACTGGCTGCTCTTCTAGACAACTCTGGGTTGGATTCCATTACCTACATGGTAGCTCACAACTGCCTGTTAACTCCATTCCCAGGGGATCTGGTGCCTTCTTTTGGCCTATAAGGAGTACCACACATGCACATGATACACAGATGTATATGCAGGCAAAGCACACACACACACACACACACACACACACACACACACACACACACACACACACAAAATAGTGGTACATACCTAGACTCCCAGCATGGAGAGACAAGCTCTCTCCAAATGAGCTACACTAGTTACATAGAAAATACAGTAATATGCCCCTCTAAATTCTATTTTTGGGTAGGTGAGATGAAACAAGCCCTCACTCTGCATCACAAGTTGCCCTCAAACTCACTACAATCCTCTGCCTCACCCTTCCAAGTGCTAGGCTTACAGGTGTGCATGACACCCACCTTAAATTATTTTTTATTTATATGTGAGTTAGCATGTATTTGGAGGCCAGAAGGAAACATCTGGTGCTTCAACCTTATTTCCAAGACAGGGTCTTTCACTGATTAGATACATTGCCTAGCCAGTGGGCCCCCAAAATCCTCTAGTTCCTACCATCCCTAGACTGAGATTAAGCACATGCTGACACTGTTACCAACTGGACCTTCCCAGGCCTTCAGTTCTTTCTTTGGTGCCAGTGTTTCACACACACAACCAAATAGCACAGCACAGCATAGCATCTTGCACAAAAGCTACTTGTTATGCTGATTAACTATTGGGAAACTTAACTAATATAATTTCCGTAGTTTAACAATTCATATTTTTTACCATGCTGGGATGATGATACTCAGGGTCATACATGCTAAGCAACATCCCAGCCGAACAAGAGACATTTTAATGAAAGCTGACACCAGCTTTCAAGGAGTTCACAATCTAATCATCACTAAACAATGAACAACCAAAACATGAAGCCTAATGAATGAATGAATCATGAACCAGTAACTGCAATTCCAACTTTCAGTTTTCTATCCTGCTTATACATAAAGACACTACT